TTCTAACCTTCTAAAACCCACTTATACTTGTTTAATATATTTTACTCTAATCCTAACTCCTAATTCTAACCCCTAACTCTAAAAAATACACCAAAAAAATTTATTTTTTGAGATTTTATACGTATTATTATTTCATTTTAATCTGAATTTCATTTTATCTGCCACAAAAAATAAATATATATTCAATTACATATTTTTTGACCGGCTCTAATTTTGGTATTATAAGTATTAAATATATAAGTATACTATTTAATATTTTTGTTATATATTATTAAATTTATTAATTTTAAAACATGATTTTGTATTATCGTTATCAATAAAAAAATTCGATAATTGATCGCCACGATAATCTAAATGAACTTACTTCAACGTTTTAAACTATTGACTTATTTATTACACAAAAATATTAAAATGCCTTCAGACCCTAATAAAATTTTATTTCAGTCTCGTTATAAACCCTATATCCGACGAAACTGGACCGATCGAAAAATGACTATCACTCTTACAAGTAAAGAATTAGAGCTATGCAATTTTTTAACTCTAGTAACTCAACACCTAAAGGAAAACTGTCCAGAGCTTCCTTTTGTTGAATTAAGAATAGCTGGCGGTTGGGTTCGCGATAAAGTATTTCATTTAATCTTTTTTTTTCGTGCACTTTCTTTACAGTGAAATTTATGCTATTTGCTATAAATTAGCTACTCGGTTATGAATGTAACGATTTAGATATCGCGATAAATTCAATGATGGGTTGTGAATTTGGCGAACATGTCAATAATTTTTTGAGACTTAAAGGACACGCTGCTGAAAATATTCATAAAATTGAATCAAATCCTGAAAAATCGAAACATTTGGAAACCGCTACCACAAAAATTTTTGGTTATGAAATTGACTTTGTTAATTTGAGAAGTGAAGAATATGTAGAAGATAGTAGAATTCCCAGTAAAGTTGTAATGTATCACTATTATTAATTAAGAATATTTGACTGCTATTATTCATAATCTTAATAAGGCCATACAAAATTATTTTTTTTCATAACCTGGTCGTGTCAAATTTTGAATTTTTATTTTTAATACTAAACGTAGTGGCTGGGTCTGTTCTAAAGTTTTAATGTTTGAAGAAACAAGAAATTAACTTTGTATTGCCTAATGTTAATATTTTTTATAGACTTTTGGTACTCCCGAACAAGACGCGTATCGTAGAGATATAACAATCAATGCGTTGTTCTACAATATTCACACACGTCAAGTCGAAGACCCTACAAAAAAGGTTTTTCTTCTATTGGAATTTCTTTTTAAAATGTTGTGTTTTAATTAATGACGATAACCTTGTTATACTCGTTTTTTTTTTTCTGATAAAGGGTATCCCTGATTTAAAGCAAGGCCTTATTCGAACACCTTTGGCTCCGTTTGAAACTTTCAATGATGATCCCCTTCGCGTGCTAAGGTGCATACGATTTGCAAGTAGATTTAATTTTTTAATTGACGAAAGTATTTTGATCGCTGTTAAGGATGAACGGATTAAAGTAGGTTTTATCTCTGTAATATAACTTTATTATTGACTTTTTTCATATTCAATTTTCTAATCATTTTATTTTATTTGTTCGTAGGAAGCAATTAATACCAAAGTAAGTCGTGAACGTATTGGAATAGAGGTGGATAAAATGATAAAAGGTTTCTTTTAATTATATTTATAAACACATTATACTTAATTTGCCATATAAGTTGTTAACGATTAGATTATTCCCGTAGGTCCTCATCCAGCTTTGTCAATTAAACTTATACATGAATTGGGTTTATATGATACTATATTCGCCCCTCCACAAGATTATCACGGAACTTTAGATGACTCAAAGACTTCTGTTTGTCTTGCAAAAATTTTGGAATGGTTATTAATATTTATATTTATTTTATCTTTGAATTTTTTTTTTTAATAGTTTCAATATTAAACAAAATCCATCTTTACGTTCATTCAATGATAGGCTCTTGTTAATATCGAATGAAAATCACCTTCACATGAGCCTTTCATCTCGAACCCCTGAAGATATCAGGTTACTTTATTTGGCAACATTTTTAGCTCCTCATAAAAATATAGAAATTATATCAAAAAAAAAGAATTATACGAGTTTTCATCATGTTATTAAAGAAAGCCTCAGAGTATATATTTTCATCAACTTTCATTTTCCAACAAAATAACCTTGTGATGCGAATTTATTATAATCTTGAAATAGTTGAAGAGTTCGGATGGTGACATCACGAAAAAATATTTTTCTTTCGTTGATCCAATCACTACTGCTGTGAATCGAAATCTGGTTGCTCCATTGGATAGAAAATCGCTTGGTATTTGCTTTATATGTAATTTATATTTCATTCATAATATTTCTTATTTATTTTTATTGTTACAACAGGTCTTTTAATTCGTGATATTGGATCACAATGGCAAAATTCTTTTATTTTGGCGTTGATATGTGAATTACTACCGAAATTTTCCGACATAGAATCGGAGAATCGTAAGTTTTAAATGTGAATTTCATAGATTGATAACTTTGAAATTTTACTGAAAATCTCTTTTGTAGTAAAAGAATCGTACAAAATTATCGAAAAATATAACAAGTTGATTGATCTTATAACTGAATTGGGACTACAAATTTGTTTTAATGATAAGCCTATTATTAATGTGAATATTCTGTTTCCATGATTCTTAATAACGCATTTGGTTTGATTTTCTTTATTTTGTTAATTGTATTTTTGTTAATAGGGTAATGACATTGCAACTTTATTAAATATCAAACAAGGTGTAATAATAGGAGAAATTCAAAAATCGGTAATAGAATGGCAATTGGAAAATGCTGATGGAAGTAAAAAACAGTGCGAAGAGTATATTAAGGATAAATATAAAAATATTTAAGTCTTAAATATTTTTATATTTATCCTTAATATACTCTTTTTACTTCCACCAGCATTTTCCAATTGCCATTCTAATACCGATTTTTGAATTTCTCCTAGTGATTTGAACCGAGAAAAAAATCGTCAATCGGCTAACCGAACCGAATTTCCCAAAGCCAACCGGCTACAACCGGTTATGATCACATGTATGGTCTTGAGATGAATTGAAGGCTTGGCCGAGCTAGAAAAAATAAAACATAAATCGTGATTTATTTTAAGCTTAGGCCGGCTTAAACCATTATCATTAAAACCTTTTTTTACCTACCATTAAATTCTACTATATTAACTGTTTGTGCTGGATTACAGTTGTTTTCATAAATCCTGGAACATCTAATAAAAAATTAACTGAATGGTTATTTGGACGATTCGGATAAATTATTGATTTCTGATCGGTATAAAAAAATATATATTACATTACAGTATGCATACAATACTTGTCCTACAAATAATTTTGTTGTTATAATGTCGGCATATTTAACACTATTAAATTTTTGATTGGATTCTTGCTCAACATGTTTGGTATGTTTGTTTGTATGAAAAGATTGTTTTTTTTGTCATCAATAAATCTTGAAAAGAAATATAAAAAAGGGAATATGATTATAGTGCTATAGTATATACTATAGTGCTACCCTATATATAAATATAAAATTGGTGTAACATGTAGATAATTTTTACAAAAAATAACTTTTAATTAGATTTAAAGGTAGGGTAGGGATGGCAAAAAACATGTTTTTTATTTTCTTGTGTTTTAAAACATGTTTTAAAACATTTTTTGTGTTTTTTATTAAATAATAAAAAAATTTATACTTTATAAATACAATTT